AAAATAGACTCGTCCGACCAAACGTTTGAATTTTGCAATGACATCGAGACTCAAACGCTCAACCATCTTTGTTGTTTGATCATGCAACGTCTATCCTGCCTTTGCGTCCTGCTACTGGGTGCACTAATTCACCAGACAACTGCATTTGCATCTCAGAGAAAGTCAATTGCGTTTCCTTTGCAACAGCGGAATCATGCTGCACCTTCCACAGGAACCATCATCATCCAGCCATCAACCGTAAAAGTTGTCCATGACTCCTCCTCGCGCACATCACTCTCCGCTTCTATGTCCGACGGAACGCCCCTCCAACAGTCCCGCAGAGCACAAGTGGCCAAGCTAAAAAGGAAGAAAATGATCAACACTTCCTATTTGTTCATCATGTGGTATGTCTTTAGTGTCCTTTACAATATTTTCAGCAAGGCTGCCTTGAATTTGGCTCCCGACTTGGCGTGGACCACGGCCACCTTGCAAATGTCACTTGGATTGCTCTATGTCATTCCCCTATGGTTGACTGGTTTGCGAAAGAAACCCGATATATCACCAAAGGATACGGTCCGACTCCTTCCGGTGGCAATTTTGCACTCGTTGGTGCACATTGGCGGCGTCGTCTCCATGGGTGCTGGAGCGGTGTCGTTCACCTACATTGTCAAGGCTTCCGAACCAGCAGTATCCGCCATCTTGTCAGCATTGACCGGTAATATTCTACCACTATCGGTCTATGCCACTCTCATTCCTGTCATGGGAGGAGTGGCCATTGCGTCTGTTTCGGAACTGAGCTTCACATGGAAGTCTTTCAACTATGCCTTTTTGAGTAACCTTGCCAGTGCAGGGAGAGGGATTGTGGGCAAAAAGACAATTGCTAAGCGACTGGGTAATAGCATGACAGCAAGTAATCTGTATGCTCTTCTCACCATGCTGGCAACCATCATGCTAATTCCAGTGGCACTATTCATGGAGGGTTCGGTACTCAAGAGTGCCATGAAAAGCTTAGCAGCAGTGGACAAGCGTGGGGCCTATTTCCTTCAAACCTTTGGTGCCAGTCTTACCTACTACCTCTACAATGAGGTTTCCTTTCTGGCGTTGGACAATGTCTCACCCATATCACATGCACTAGGCAACACGTTGAAGCGTGTTTTTATCATTATTTCCAGTATGTTCGTATTTGGTAATCGAATGACGGGGCAAGGATGGATTGGATCGACTATGGCAGTCGGAGGCGTCTTTCTCTATTCGGTGGAGAAAACTCGACAAGCTAAGTTGACAAAGGCCAAAGGAAAAGGAAAATAAAAAGTTATAGATTTTATATATGTTTGCCAGAAGTTATCATAAGTTATAGTTTCTATATAATATCTTATCAACACACTCACGGGTTGACTGTACTTGTAGACTCAAAATATTGAGTAGGTACGCTGATTCGAAGAATGTTTAGAGTACTGTAGTTATTAGCTCTAGTAGGAAACTTCTGTGGGATTGAGATTGAATTCCTGAGAACAACTTCGAGTCGAAGAAGTCCAACTCTAATTCCCGTTCTCAATTTCATTCCCACCAAGACATCGTACCTCCCTCCACAACATGCCCTTCTCAAACTCACAAAACCGACAACCCTCACCACTAACCATCCAAACTACCAAACAACAACAAGATGATGCACCCAAAAGAATCCAAAGGAACCAAGGCCGCTAGAAAGACCAAGAATGCCTTTCAATATGTTATAGGGTCCTTCAAGAAATCCGATCCAATGGCCAAGATGAAGTACAAGGAGCATTTGATTGCCCAACGCAAAAAGGACTTTGGTGTCACTTATATCAATCTAGTAAGATTGAATGCCACGCAAGAACAACTGCAATTTGCGGTAGATTCTTGTAATACGGATGTGGACATTTTGTTACGAGAAATTGAACAGCTCAAGGACAAGATTGACATGTTGGATTACGAAACCAAAGCCAATCTCAAGCCCAAGCCCGGATCACCACAGTCTACAGCACAGTCTTCATCACCACATATCTTCGCAGTGAGTGCGAAGGCATAAGCCGTTTTGTCAATGGACAAGTCAAGAGCGAATATGGTGTACTACTTGCGAGGACGAGCAGCACACCACCAGGCCCAGCCAGCCCAACCAAGATGAGGAAGGTTGAAACATACAGAGAACATGCCCATATCGTGCCGCGGCATTTTAATAATACTACATGTGGAGAGACGGACTAATGTAATCAGTGTTTTCGTCAAAATAAGATGATCGTAGTGTTTGTTGTGTGTATCTTTGTTCTGTAGTAATAAGATGAAAGATTAATTGTCCGTGCTTCGTCAGTACGTTTTGGATATCGTCATCGTCATCACAATCATGACATCATACCGCATAAGGAGACTTCCATGACGAGCAATATTACTGCATTCATCCTCCTTTGCATCATGAATTTCAACATGGTCTCTTCATTCTTGGTTCGATCAAGCTGCCGTGCCGTCCCCAGAATTTCCCAACAGTACAAGTTGACGAGAAGAAGCACAATCATCCAATCATCCTTGTATTCGTCGTCTTCCGCCAAATATCAAAAGTCGTACAAGCTAGAAGGAACTGGCGAAGGGACCAAGGTAGAAATCACCACCAACACTGGGCATTACTTGGCCACGGATATCCCCAAGCCCATGGGCGGCAGGGATACCGCACCTCAGCCAGTCGAAACCTTGATGGCGTCCTGGATGGGATGCACCCAGGCCACGGCACTCTTTGTGGGACGGCATTTGCCTGAACGATTGTCCATAAGTAAAATGGAATTTGACAACATCGAGGCCTTTCGAGACGAACGAGGAGCCCTGCAATTGCCAATCGACACAACACCCGAAATTCCGTCACGGATCCAAAGGATTACCGGCACAATTCGAGTTTATGAACGAAGAGGCAATCCCATTTCGACCGAACAAATGGAATTGCTCAAAGAACAGACTGAGATTCGTTGCCCCGTTGCCAATATGATGCTTGCAAGCGGATGTGCGATCGATGTCGAGTGGGTAGATGGATCGTTTGCTGTGGTATAGAAGGAATAGTTCCTTCTTTCATTGCGGTAAAGCCGAGTTTGGTGTTGGGATGAACAACCGGAACGAGATCTAGTGGCTAAGTCCTCTGCGGTGCATACAATAATGTACCAAGATGGTTGTTGGCTGGTCAATGATGGAGGCAAATAACTGGTACTAACTCGACAAAAAGATTGTTGAGGGCTCGTGATATGCTCTCATGCTCTCCACCCTTGCTATCACCATGATCGCACGGTAGCATGGTACATGGAGGACTCCTCTTTCGCAACTGCTGTAAATTCAGGCAACAATCCGGAATGATCATTCAAAAAAAAGATCAAAATCTTCGGCTGCCGTTAAGTCGACTGAGGTGCGCCTATTCTGATGATTCACTCTTCAATGACTTCCAGTACCGGTAGGTACCTAAGGCCCACTCAACGAATTTAGCTTATTTTCGATGTATTTGCATCGAAGTATATGTGGAAGGTCTTTCTAGCTGCGTCACGCGCCCCTATTCTATTTTGTCGGAAGAAGAAAATGAAAGATGCGAGAGAACTGCTAATGGATGCCACGGCTTGGGATATTCACACAACGGTGAATTGTCGAACAATCCCTGTCTACTGTAGTGTTTCCATCTGGTTGTATCAGACAGCACGGTACAGCTGAAGAAATATAGTACATGTATCGAGTTTACTCTATTCTTTGCCATTCAACTGTTGGTCCAAAATTAAGTTGCTTTGGTAGTTTTACTAGAGACCAACAAAAAGAGCAAGACTTGTCAAACTTAAGCCAACGAGCCAAGTAGCCACGCCATTCTTTGCATTTGTACCTGCACTCTCCTGTATTCCTGGAAGAACGAAATCACCCCAATCACCCCAAGCAGAGTCATCGCAGAGAAAGTCGCAGGTACTATCACCATAAAATTCAGTTGCCACATGACAAAAATCAGAACATTTGATGCAGCTTCCCCAACTAGTGTTTCCAGCACCTGGGTTTGCACCTCCGTTCCAAAAGTTTTGCTCGATGCGGTCAGGAACATTAGGAAGCTGAGCGCACAAAGGATCACTTTCAAATCCATTGTACCCTGTACAGAATGTTTCAAAACCAAAGTAATCCAGTGATCCGTTTGGCCCATAAACGGTCAAAGTAACTTCATTGCGATTATCGATGTGAATGGCATATGGGGCATTGGTTTCAATACTGACGTCTTTTAGTCCCTCAAAGCTGATTAGATCTGAGAAGACGTCAATCGATCTGTCATACTTTTCACATTGTGGTGATGTACAGAGGCTCAAGAAATCCAAGGGTTCGCAACTGGAGACCAAGTTATCATCGGCTGCAGGAACGAACGTCCCAGTATCCAAACCAACTGTGATTCCCTCATCCAGAAATTTGAGTTTCACGTTGAAGCTGTCGTCGGCGGCAGAAGCAGACCCTACCAATGCAATTAAGAGAATAGTTGCAGACACAAACATTATGTTTGAGTGAACTTTGCACAAAATTGACATGAAATGCTTGAATCTGAGACGCGTTTTGTTTAATCGTACCGGATAGATTACCCGGCGCCTGTGCTTCAACCGCATGATGTACGTACTGTACCACCAGGTACGTTTACCGGTACGATTTTAAACAAACGCGTCTGTTGTCCTGTGCTGTACGTGTACCAAGTACCAATACGATTAAACAAACGCGTCTAAGATTCCAAGCATTTCATGTCAATTTCTACCTCCTCTCATAAATTCAAAAGAACAAAAGTGCAAAGTTCTCTCAAACATAATGTTTGTGTCTGCAACTATTCTCTTAATTGCATTGGTAGGGTCTGCTTCTGCCGCCGACGACAGCTTCAACGTGAAACTCAAATTTCTGGATGATGGAATCACAGTTGGTTTGGATACTGGGACGTTCGTTCCTGCAGCCGATGATAACTTGGTCTCCAGTTGCGAACCCTTGGATATCGTGAGCCTCTGTGCATCATTTCAATGTGAAAAGTATGACAGATCGATTGACGTCTTCTCAGATCTAATCAGCCTTGAGGGACTAAAAGACGTCAGTATTGAAACCAATGCTCCATATGCCATTCACATCGATGATCGCAATGAAGTTACTTTGACCGTTTATGGGCCAAACGGATCACTGGATTACTTTGGTTTTGAAACATTCTGTACAGGGTACAATGGATTTGAAAGTGATCCTTTGTGCGCTCAGCTTCCTAATGTTCCTGACGCCATCGAGCAAAACTTTTGGAACGGAGGTGCAAACCCAGGTGCTGGAAACACTGGTTGGGGAAGTTGCATCAAATGTTCTGATTTTTGTCATGTGGCAACTGAATTTTATGGTGATAGTTCCTGCATCGGTCTCTGCAATGCCTATGATTGGGGTGATTTCGTTCTTCCAGGAATACAGGAGAGTGCAGGTACAAATGCAAAGAATGGCATGGCTGCTTGGCTCCTTGGCCTAAGTTTGACAAGTCTTGCTCTTTTTGTTAGTCTCTAGTGAAACACCAAAGCATCTTAATTTTGGACCGACGATGTAATGGCAACGAACAATAGAGTAAAGAACTCGATACATGTAGTATGCTATTTCTTCAGCTGTACCGTGCTGTCTGATACCACTATATGGAAAGACTGCAATAGATAGGGATTGTTCGACAATGCCCAATTTCTCACCGTTGTGTACATATTCCAAGCCGTGGCATCCACCAGTTGTCTTTTTCGTCTTCCGATAAAAATAGAATAAAAGGGTAAGAAAGACCTTCCACATTTGTCGTTTGAGTCACTTGGTGAATACGATCATTCTTGTGGAAGGACATCTGCCGGATCGACAACCCCAATGACCATCTGCCTTTGTGCATCTGCCAAAAGTTGAAAGTGGTCCGTCTCATCTTTTTCATCACACTTCTGATCAGTAATTACTGCGGTGTACTGGTACACTACGTGTACGTACGTGTAGAATGATACTGCAAAAATGCTTTTTTGGTTCTTCATGTTCTTTGATTTATTCACTCTTGAGTTTTTCCATCATGTGTAAAAAGATCGACAGGCGCAGCGGCACAGCTTTGGACGAAGACGGAGAATACGAACCGTTGAAGTCTCCACGTAGACTATGTACTAGAACCCACCTGTGCCGAAAGATTTGCAGCTGCAACTCCGATAACGAGAACCGATGGTTGATGTCCAGTCGACATTCTTCGCCTCTTAT